AGCATTATACACAGAAAGAAACAACCAGTATCAGCCCTTCTAAAAATATACCAAAAAGTAAACAGCACCAACATAAAGAAGAATTTACACCAACGAATGGATCAAACAGCCAGTTAACATCAAATGGCAGTAACCCTAAATTTAAATCGACTAACTCCCCTAATCAAAAGACGCAGCCAAAACCCAATGGCATGTTACATCCAGACCTGTTTCACATGCAAGGATACACAAAGACTCAAAACAAAGGGATGGAGAAAGATTTACCAACCAAATGGAGAGCAAAAATAAATAAATAAATAAAAAGCAGGAGTTGCAATTCTCGTATCAGATAAAATAGATTTTAAAGCAACAGAGATATAGTGGTAAAAGGATCAAGGCAACAACAAGAGCTAACGATTCTAACACCCAGATACATAGAAACTTAGACACAATGAGACAGAAAATTAATAAGGATATCAAGGTCTCGAACTCAGATCCGGAACAAGTAAACTTAATAAATATTTATAGAGCTCTCCACTTCAAATACACAAAATAAACATTCTAGTCAATACCACATCACACGTACTCATAGGTTTAAATGAAACATTGATTGGCCATTATTAATACCCATTTTTTTTAAGAATAAAGCAATATTTCCACTCACTCTCCCTCTTTCTCCCTCTCCTTTACTCATTTTTTTCGTCTTTCCTTCACTCAAAAAAAAAGAGATCAACTTGTAAACCTCTAGATCCAGGTCGGCAATGTCTCTCTCATTGCTTGAATTCCTTCTTTCTCTTCCCTCCCTCCCTCCCTCCCCGCTTCATCCCTGCCTTCATCCCTCCCTTCCTAAAAAAAAAAAAAAAAATCATATTTCCAATTTATTATTTGAAGCCAGAAGTTACCAACTTGTTTTTCATAAGTTACTCGCTGCAGAGATACCAAAATGTTTTAAATTCAAATTCAAAGCTACACAATCTCTGTCATACCGCCTAAATACCTATTAAATTTGCCGAAGGTGTCCTATAGCTTAAAATCTGCTTTTTCCAATTTTAAGGACTTAGAATCCTTATGGAATAGCAATGTAGGAATTAAAACATAAGGTCTTTATATACCTTATATTTGTCCTTTAAGCGGTTCCTTTTTTTTTGGAGATGGAGTTTTGCGCTTGTTGCCCAGGCTGGAGAGCAATGGCACGGTTTCAGCTCACTGCAACCTCCACCTCCCAGGTTCAAGCAATTCTCCTGCCTCAGCCTCCCGAGTAGCTGGGATTACAGGCATGCACCACCATGTCCAGCTAATTTTGTATTTTTAGCAGAGATGGGGTTTCTCTATGTTGGCAGGCTGGTCTCAAACTCCCAACCTCAGGTGATCTGCCCGCCTTAGCCTCCCAAAGTGCTGGGATTACAGACATGAGCCACTGCGCACCCAGCCCTTGGCTTTTGAAAGCCTAAATGTAAGCTATATAGGCGGAAGGTATAATGCCCAGTCTGTCTTAATACATCATAATCACGATGATGGTTCATTCTTTCCTACATTTATGTCCTGAGGACAGAGTACACTCCATTCCTTAAGTATGTGCTCTTTTCTCATGTTTTCTCATAAACAAAGTTCATAATGAAATCCATCCTCATTGACCTCCATATCTTTCTGTGTGGTTGCCTGTTGTGATGTTTCTTTGTCATTCTCTTAATCTTATCAAATTGGGTTAGTGCTTATGGTGCAGTAGTGCCTCTTGGATGAGTATCTGGGAAAACACTCTGGTGGAAGAGAGAAAAATCTACCTGTGGTAGTGCTTCTTCAATCTTCCTAGACATGAAAGAATGGTGTTTTCTCTCTACCCTTTAGAAGGCTGCTCCTTCCTGTAGGTTTCGCCACAATGTCCTTGGCTCAGAACTTGTGTTGAGATAATTGAATATGACATTATAATTCACATTTATCTGATCTGAGCCTTTCATTTTACAAATGAGGAAACTAATTTGTAACATTGGGCTTGAAGGTAAAGGTATTTAGATATGATTTTAGTTATGAGCCGTTTTATAAAAATTAGATTCAGGTTTTATGAAATATTTCCTTTTTCCCTAAAGTCCGCCTCTAGTGTTTATATGTATATAAATATATTGATGTATTTATTTTTGAAACAGGGTCTTGCTCTGTTGCCCAGGCTGGAGTACAGTGGCATAATCATAGCTCACTACAGCCTTGAACCCTGGGCTCAAGCATTCCTCCTGTCCTCCTGCCTAATCCTCCACAAAGTGTTGGGATTACAGGTGTGAACCAAAGCACCCAGCCCCTACTTATTTATTTTAGTGGGGAATTAAAGCCTTTAGTCACCAATTTTATTTAAATAGTTAATTTCCATGAGTTTTGAACTAAAGTCTGAGTAGACTTAACAATTTTTTTTTAGAACCTATAATACCAAAACGTACAGCAATTTTGTTATTTGCCAGTGTAGCCTAAGCTTTTTGAAGAAAAAGAGGGATGTATATTACTTTCTTGGTAGGGGTTATGCTGGAAGAACTTTGGATTTGATCTGCTCTCTTGTAACTAAAATCATAATATTGCAATTATTACTCTCCATGCCAGAGGTTGAGAGCATTAAAATCTGGGCATGGATATAACCAGCCAGATAATGCCTCAACACCTGAAGGGATAAATTAAAGTCAGCTATAAAATGTAGGAATTTCACTTAAGCATCCATTAGATTTAACCCAGTGCTTAGCTGTGGAAATGAGGATCGGGGAACTGTGCATAGGGGAAGGGAGGTTATGTGTTAATAGAACTTTTTTCATTTCAGTTTAAAAATAACTGATTGGCTTATTTCCACATTTGGCTGAGAGTCTTGGCTGCTAAGAGCTGTGCCTTCAACATCTCTTTGATGATTATGTATTTGATTAAAAGTGGAGTCACTATGGTTTGCCTCTACTTGGCTGTCGGTATCCTAAAGGGATTGTATGCTTCTTTCTCTTCTCTTTCTTTTAGTGGGTTAGACAAGTTAGTCTTTTTTTTGTTGTCCCCAGGGATGGATTGATCTTAAAACAGGTACACTTTGTAATACTTAGTTCTTTAAATTATTTAAGGTTTAGAAATTTTTACATTTCAGCATAGTACAGTTTTGGCTGTCTCTGCTTTCTCTTCTTCAGTTGCTTATTACCTTTTTAAAAGGCTTACCCTACTTAGGAGGCATCAAGGCTTTTGATTGTTATAGGGGCTAAAAGCTTTGATATCTAGACAATCCATTTATATGAAGTATATGACTTTTACTCTATAGATTAAACATCATAATATATATATTATGCTGTGTTGCTCTCATATAAGCCTTTCAAATTATTCCTTTTAAAAATAGTAACTACATTTTTTTGTCTGCAAATTATTGGTATTTATATAACTAAAGCGTAAAAGACCATGAACATTTTCTTGATGGAATTCAATTATTTCTCGGCTATTGTGGTGGAATATTTATTTTAAAAGGCAACATTATAAATTAACTTGATAAATTAACACACTACTATGGCTACCACTGCCACCTTCTGAATCTCTAAGGTATATAGTAACATTTGTTGTATTTTCCAAAGATTGACTTGTAACCCATTTTAATTAATCAGATCCTTACTAGACTAGCTAAAATGTCCCAGATAATGATAATCATTAAAGTCTTCAAGAAGTATGTTATGTATTAATATGGTTTCTTTAAAACCTTTCATTTGACATTTTTCTTGCCTATAGGCTAATTTCTTTCAGGTTTGGGGCATGTATTCATTGCATGACAGTGTTTGGGATGTATGAAATTAAAACTCATTTCATGAACTGCTCCAAAGTGTATTGGGGCCAATTGATTGGTTTCTGGAAATTCTTGGAGATTAATTATTGAAAACAGTGGTTAAGCAGAGCTAATATTCCATGTTCATACCCTGATATACTTCTACATTTTGCAAAGATGGTATTTTGGGCAGCAGCAACCTATCCTAAAGGGTTATTGTCCTCTGGCAGTAAGTTAGCCACCCTTTTATATTACACAGCTGGTTAATGGAATCAGTAACTCATTTGATACTTACTTGAATTGAGCACAAAAATTTTAATAACAGCTTTATTGCAATACAATTCACATACCATACAGTTTAGCCAGTTAAATATACAAGTCCGTGCTTTTTGGTGTATTTACAGAGCTGTGCAGTCTGTTCTAGAGCAATTTCCTCACTTCAAGAAGAAACCCCATACCCATTAGCAGTTGTTTTCCATTTCCCGACAACTCTTTCTCCTCAGGACAGCCCTAGGCAACTACTAATCTACTTCTACCTCTATTGATTGTCCTTTTCTGAACATTTTATATAAACAGATTTATATAATATGTAGTCTTTTGTGTCTGCTTTCTTTCATTTAGCATAATGCTTTTAAGGTTGTAGCATATATCAGTACTTCAGTACTTTTTAGTGCCAAGATTTGTTTTTTAAGATTGTTTTGTTGTTTTCTTTCCCTTGACTCCATTTTTTCTCCCTTCACTGTAAAATCAATTCTAAGGTCGCTCGTCATAATTATTGTGATATCAAAGAATTAACCAGTTTAGTTTTGGGATCTACAAAGCTATCATCTGTATGATCTAGAGAATTTCACAGTTGAGCTATATGTTAGAAGGCTTCATGGGCTTTAAAAAATGTTTTTAGAAAGTGTGATGTTAGCTACTGCCAATGGCAAGCCCAGCTGAACAAGGCACATCATTGTGATTGCAAAGTAGTCCATTTCAATATAGTTTGTATCATTAATATTTATTAACATCTAAAAAAGTTCAGGTCATTTCTATGCTTTCATTAGTGATTCTTGACTAGGAAGGAGCCTAGCAAAGTGCCAGTATGTTATCAGAAATAAAATTCCCACTCCATCCATTGCTTATGTATTTATAAACGCCAAAATGCATGAAAGATGAAGTTCTGGTATCAGTTACAGGGCTTATGTAGCTTTTCAAGAAAATTTATATGTGCTATGTTAATCTTCTTTTTTTTTTTTTTTTGAATATGTGTCATTTTCAGGACCCTTCAAAAAATGATACATGCAAAAGGTTAGTATCTCCTTAACAGATTTCCTTCTTTATTTTTTTAAATCCTTTTTTTTTTTACTTCTATACTAACAAGGAACAGATTTCCTTATGTTCAACGTAATGTCTGCCAAGCGACTATTCCATAAGTATGTGTATGAAACATAACTGTGGGTGCAATTTGACAACTCTTTTTTTGGCCCAAATCATTGCAAATTCAGTTGTTCTTTGACATTAGCAAAATTAATTTTTACAGTTTCAGCCATTTTGAATAATCTAAAAGGTTCATGCCTTGAGTAATTTTTTAATCTTATTGTGACATAAATTGGAATCATAGTTAAGAGTCCAGTATGCATGAACAGGTAGCTGCTATTGGGTCAGCCTTCAGTCCCTGCAGTTCAACCCAGCTACATGATTCTACTTAAAACTTAATCTCATTTACTTGTCACAACCATTCTGTAAGGTAGGTGCAATTGTTACATTTAAAGGAGAAAAAAATATTATAGCCATATTTAGGAATTTGGGTTTTCTCAAGTTTCTTACAATATATTTCTTGGCATTAGTATTAGTAATTCATTAGTATTCGCTCTGAAAGTTATAAGCTGCCTTCCCTTAAGAACCTCTATCTAAAATGACTGTGGAATCCTTGGCTTGTATAGTATCTTTGTGGAGATTATATAGAGCTAGCCATTTTATCTTTGGCATCTCAAAGTATTTCAGAGAAAGAGAAAATATGTCTTTTTCTCCCATAAAATATCAGATCTTTTATTTGATGTAATGGATGTAGTATAAAAAAGTACAAACAATTAGTAAATTTAGTTTCCTTAATATTTAGGGCTTAGGGTCAGCTAAATACTGCATAAAAATTTTGAAAATACAAGCCACAGACTTACAGACTTTAAACATAAAACTTATGTTTATGCTATAAAGCTTGGATTTAATGCTAAATATAAAACTGATTAAGAATTATTAGGCAGAATATATAAAGAATTCTTATAAATCAGTTTTTTTAAAACCTCAGTAGAATATGAGAAAAAGATTTAAGTACTTTACAGAAAAGGAAATACAAATGTAAGCATATGGAAATAAGGTTTAATCTCATTCAACATTAGTGATATGTGAATTAAAATCATAGGTATATTTCATACTTAACCAGATTGGTAAAAATTCTGGCCGGGTGCAGTGACTCATGCCTGTAATCCCAGCTTTTTGGGAGGCCGAGGCAGGTGGATCATGAGGTCAGGAGTCTGAGTCCAGCATGACCAATATGGTGAAACCCTATCTCTACTAAAAATACAAAAAAAACTAGCCGGGTATGGTGGCACGTGCCTGTAATCCCAGCTACTCCAGAGGCTGAGGCAGGAGAATCGCCTTTACCTGAGAGGTGGAGGTTGCAGTGAGATGAGGTTGCACCATTGCACTCCAGGCTGGGTGACAGAGTGAGACTCCATCTCAAACAAACAAACAAACAAAAATTTAAAATTGTGCAAATAAGAATTGGTTGGAAAGTTTATCCCCTGACTCTTTAAGCACTCTTAGGGTAATGTAAATGAATATAATCACTTTGGAAAACAAGTTTGGCATTATCTAGTAAATTTGATAGGATGAATTAATTTTTGTGCCAGCAATTCCATTTCTAATGATATACTTGATAGAAATGTGTGCACAGGTACACCCAGAAATATGTACAAGAATGTTCATAGCAGCATTATTTGAGATATTCAAACATTGGAAACAACCCTAATAAATTGTGGTATATTCGTACAATGGAATACTACAAAACAGTAAAAATAAATGAATCACAAATCCGTCGTAGTCTGGATGACTCTCCAAGAAGAAAAATCTGTCTTATGACAGGAAGTTATTGTTGAACCTGAATCTCCTTTGATGCAGTATAAATGTGTTTCCTTTGGTTTTCTCCTCAGTGGCAGTTTAGTATTAGGAAAGATTATGTGAAGATTGGTGGTCAATCATTCTCAATCTTCTGTACTAAAAAAATTCTCTTCTTCAGTGTTTTCTCAAGGATCCTACTTTTGGATTCTTTAGTCTTTTGTGGTTGCCCTTCAAGGAATCTCAGTTCATTATTCTTAACAGGAGATTACTTCAGAGTTCTCATGTGCATATTGCTGTTGTACATGCCATCTTGCTTCGTTTTTTCAACAAAGCTACCTGGCTGACATTCTAAACTAGTCCAGAGTAGCTTTCTGACATATGTAAGCATACAGAGTGCTAGGTGTATTTAGGCAAAGATAATCATTTTTCCTATGAACTTCAGCTTGTTTTATTGACTTCAAAACCTTTTAATACAAAGACTCATCTGTCTTAAGTAGAAGAGCAGCCAGGTCATTTGGATCATGGAAGAATTATACTTTAAAACTAGTGTGCTAATAAGTTCTGTTAAATAATTATTATGTTAAGGAGAATGAGTACTGTTCTGAAGCTCCTAAGGAAAGTCTCTTGCAGTACTTTTTAAGCTGCCACTTGCTTCACCCTAGTAGAACTATATATGCTTTGTGTGTATGTGTATCCTTATTAGTGTCCAAACTTAATTAGAGATTAAGAGGAAGGGTTTGGAATCAGACTGCCTGATTCCCTTACTAGCCTTGTGATTTGGGCTGCAAAGCTTCTGTTTACCCTTGTATGAGATGAGAATACTAACCCTATTTCACAGGCTGTTGTAAGGATTAAATCTTTAAAATACATATGAAGCAGATAGGATATTTCTGGTAGTTATATTAGACATTATTGCTTCCAATTTATATTAGGATGGATATATATTTTTATACATATATGAAATGGCACATAATGGCATTTTTTCGTGTTTAAAAACGTTAATTGTAGAATATGTGTAAAGCAAAAGCACAAAGAAGAATATGTGAGACTATCCACAATCCCTAACCATAATCAGAAATAACCATTATATGACTTTGTAGAAACACATATAAAGGCATATATATATCTTATTTGATAGCATACAGTTGGTTTTGTTTTTAGCCTTTTATAAAATTACTTTTTAAAATTGTCACTCCAATCCAAATATTTTTTCCCCAACTACTTTGCGATAAAAGCAATTAAACTTCCCAAATTAAAACTCCTTGCCCATATTAAAACATGTAAAAGCTGAAAGACAGTGAACATTTGGCTTGAAATATTAACAACTTTATTGCTTTTTCCCCCTACCCCTAGTTGCTGGGCATATTGGATTTTACCCATCGTAGGTGCTGTTCTCTTAGGTTTCCTGTACCGCTACTACACATCGGAAAGCAAATCCTCCTGAGGAGGCCTTGCTGAAGCCTGGAAAGCTCATCCACATTGGAGTGAAAACTAGAGACTTGTTTGGGGGCTGCGGAAGTGCCCTCTTCTTGAATCCTGCCAGTTGCATTCTTCCCCCTTGGAGCCAAGACGGTTGGCCGGACGTCCACTACAGATCTGGGCCCAGTGTCCTCCATTTCTCAGAGCCTTACTCCCAGAGTACCTGCTCACTGTTCTGTGTCAAACATTTGCCAGTCTTTCTTCTCTTCACTGGTTTCCATGAGTGCCCTTATATTTTAGAACTTTCTGTTCATAATTACAGTTCATATGTTACAGTGACATTGCTCTTTGGTAAAAATGCCTGCTTTCCAATACTTTGATCGCACATTAGACTTTCTTAACAGGGCAGCACTCTAGTGTTGAAGTCTTTCTTTTTCCATTTTTCTTTTAAGTAAAATTTTTTTAAAAAAATTCTGATTTAGGGCTAGTTGCGGGCATGCCTGTAATCCTAGCAGTTTGGGAGGCCAAGGTGGGAAGATCGCTTGAGACTAGGAGTTTGAGACCAGCCTAGGCAACATAGTGAGACCTTCATCTGTATTTTTTTTTTAATCTGATTTAATTCTGTTATTTATCATAAGGGGTTTGATTCCTGAAGTAAAGGTATGTACTTTATTAAACTTAAAATTGCCAAATGATTTTTGTTCCTTTTATGTGTGTGATAAAACTACAAAGAATGATATGGTCATCTCCTCCCTTTCAAGCTAGGGCAGCAGGTAGCTCTTCCCACTCCCTGAGCCCAGCCCCTTCCCAAGTGGTGCTGGACAAAAAACTACGTTGCCCTTTTACGTCTTGGGGATGGAAAGGGAGGGATGGATTGGGGTGATAGAACCCTGGTCAATTCAGAGTAATCTTTCTTTAGAAAAATACTGCATATCACCACTTCAGGATAGGCATTGAGAGAAAGCACCAAAGCTTTCACTTTGGTTTGGCACCAGTTTCTAGCCATCTGTTTTTTCTCCCTTAGCTATCTTTTATTGGTAAAACATAAATGTATAATTATGTCTATAGAGCTTTACCAGGGATTTTCCCTGCTTTTTTGGTTTATTGATTAGCAAATTTTTGATTCTCCATTTTCCAAAGTTGAAAGACTCCAAGTTGGCCTTCTGTTTGCCCCTGCAAGTAAAATAACTTCCATATAAAATGGTATTTGAAAGTGAGAGTTCCTGACAAGAGACTGTTATCCATTTCATCTGTATTTTACCTCCATGACTCCAACTTGTGGGTTTGTTCAGTTTTTCCATGAGAATAAAATACTGGCAGTTTTTTTCTCGGATGTGTGTTCATTGAGAAGTAGGTTACTAGAATTATGTTACTGTGTCTTACTGGTTCAGTGATGATTTCTCTGGCATATTAGAGTTTATTTTTCCCCCATGGAAGTACCTGAGGAAATAGTACACTGGCTCTTTTCTGCCGGCGATTGTGGTGATTTTTCTCCCTGTCCTTTGAGAATTGCCAGTCTGCTTCTGAGCCATTGTCATATCCAGCAGGGAGCAGCTTGGTTCAAGAAGGACCATAGAGGCTGCTCAGCATCTCCTCCCTCCCTCCAAGCTTGCCAGGGACTTGAGACAGGAAGCTGCCCAGCAAACCAGTGTCTGCCCATGCAAACTGTTTAAGAAAAAGTTCAACCCAGGTCTTGTATCCTGTGATTTAGCAGTTGAATGAATACAGAATTCATCAAAATATTATTAACCTTGTACTTGCACACTTGGATATATTTTGGAGTAATTTTAGGAGATTTCTGGCTGACTTTTATTATCAGGGATATGGGTTTAGTAAAACTTTTATCTTTAGAAAAATGTTTATATGATAAGATGCTGCTTTTAAAACAATATTAGAAAAAACCTTTGGTTATTATTTAACAAAAGTGGTATGACTTGATACTTCTCTATATAAAGGCAAGGAAGGATTGGTATATGATTATAATAAATAAATTATGTGACTTTTGGAGTACATCGGGTGAAAGTAAAGAACAAAGGAGTATTGAGCTCAAAAGGGAACATTCAAGCTAAAACCAAGCCTGAGGATAACTTGAATCAGTTGTAAAAGTGTGTTGCCGATGTCCAAAAATTGAATTAAAAACATCTGGCTTATAAGAAATGTGAAAGAACTATCATCTTAAGTAAAATTGGTGTTTTTGTTATTTTTAAGGTAAATGCCAATGCAAAAGATATGTTTTTCTACTTACCGTTGATTTTCTTTTCCTGTTTACATCTGGACTTGTTTTTTTACTGAGAGCCAGAGGGAGAAGATAATTAGACTTTTGTCTCTCCCACCCATGAAATCCCTCCAGTACCCAGGGCCTCTCAACTACTGCTGATATGATGTCACATTGTATTAGGAAAACCACTTTTGGGTCCATTTACTATTTTTCAGTTGCCTACAAAACAGCCAGGTGAAAGGTAAATCTTGTGTGAGAGTTTAGAGGTTTTTCTAAACAATGAGGTAGTATAGCACACTAGCCAAATCCATCCAAAAGGACTTCATTTTAGGAAGTAGATTTGATTTCTTGAAACAGTCTTGGTATGGGTAGGTGGTGAAAAATCCTCTGGAGAGCAAGTGGAGCCAGTCCCCATTGGCTGACGGTGCCACCTGAAGCTGGTCTCTGGGGGTTTGGTTATTTATTCCTGAGGAAGACTAGCTGCGGCTGCAGCAAACTGTACTGTACACATCATGGCTGCTGGACATGGAGGAGGTGAGGGAAGTGTCATGCCACCAAAATAGAGGGTGTGGCTGGGTGAGGTGGCTCACGCTTGTAATCCCAGCACTTTGGGAGGCCAAGGTGGGCGGATAGCCTGAGATCAGGAGTTCCAGACCAGCCTAGCCAACATGTTAAAGCCCCGTCTCTACTAAAAATACAAAAATTAGTCAGGCACGGTGGCAGGTGCCTGTAATCCCAGTTACTTGGGAGGCTAAGAGAGGGGAATCGCTTGAACCCAGGAGGCGGAGGTTGCAGTGAGTGGAGACTGTGCCACTGTATTCCAGCCTGGGCAACAAGAGCAAAACTCCGAAACTCCGTCTCAAAAATAACCAGGGTGTTGGTACCCGTTCTCCAAAATTCCTTAGCGCCTATTCAGCAATTGGTTTTGGTTTCCAAATGACTTCTGCATTTGTAAAGATAAGAGAGTGGGGGGTGGGGTCAAAGTTTATCTTGCGTTTAGATCTCAAGACTGCTTAAGCAAAAACAAACATCCCTTGGAACCTATCATATGAGCCTGTAAACTTCTTTTAGCAGTTGTCATAAATGCATATGTTGTGAAATCAGAACACTGTCGAGTTTATATTCATTTAGTTGCAATGTGGGGCAATGAAAAATGCTTTGCAGGCCTGAAGTATCATTACTTATGGTATCTCCTGCTTTAAAATCTCAAGCGATACCTATCTGGTTAAATTCCACTTGAGGAGATTGAGATGCAGAACGTTAATGTTCATTACCTCCTCCTACCCCAAGAGAAATGGATTCAGACATGTCTTGTCTCAACAAGAAATTGTTTTTTTTTTTTCACTATCTCATTCCGTTGCCAGATATCGCAGAAGTAATGAGGAGTTTAGTCACATTTGGCTGTTGTGCTCTGAAAGAGCCAGGTTTGGAATTTGTGGGGGTGATCTAGGAAGAAGTTTCCAAAGAAGCAGGGAGGCATTTGTCAAGTTACCTACCCTATATCCAGCAGCCTACACATGAGCTTCAGTATCTGCTCTTTGCCCACGCTTGGATCCTACATTTGCCATTTGAGCAAACCAAGACTAGTTATTTAACTTTCTTTTTTTTTAACTTCACCTTTGACTATGAATGAGAAACATTAACATTCCTTTTGTATATTCAATAATGGAGTATGTTTACCTATTTTATTTCAGAATATTTTGAACAAAGATCTTTGTCTCTGCTGGAATGCACACACAGTGAATGTTTGTTAGAACTACACACAATAAAGACACTGTTTTCCTTTTCTTGCCCTGACTACAGTTTTTTTTTTTTAATTAAAAAAATGTTTTTTAAGTAGAAGTGCTGGCTTTGTAATCCTCAGGTGTTCTGGAAGAGGAGGATTTGAAAAGCCTAACAGTCTCCTGCATCTGTGCTAATGATGTATTTAGCATAACTGGTCGGGAGTTCCGTGGTTCTCCAGGATTCTTCTCACTGTTGTTTTCGTGAAGTGAATCACTCATTTGATAACCGTGGGATGCAAAAAGCAAGGCTGTGTTTTAATGGATGTGGGAACCGGGAGCCAGATTTGGGGTTCTGTTTTTACTGAAACTACCTGCTGAAAGAGAAGCTAGTACCAGGCAATACTGTTTTGTTATCTGCAGTGCCAGTCTTCAAATGATTGTTTTTCTTGGAAATAGCTAAACTGTTGGGGAAAATTAAACCCTGGGATTGAAGTTTAGTGACTGTGTTAATAAAACAAGGGAAATAAACCATTTTTATAATTACCTTTAAAACATACTGATAGCCTTCTAACATTACTAACATCATTGGATTTCTGTTGTGAGATCGTTCATTATGGCTTGGCTGTTTCATTATCACAGGAACTGAGGATTACTGACAGGAAAGGATACCCCCATTCTTGTTGCCAGCGTTTGAGTTTAATGTTTAATCTTCGATACTAATAAGAATTTATTATCACAGTACTCTCTCTGATGCTGACTGGTTGGTAGGTGCTTGACAAATCCTTGCTGATTCATGAAAGCCTAAGGTAGAAGATTGTGATTCCAATTATGTAAATTTAAGGGAAGAAATACCCACACAATCTGTTAAACTGCTGGTAATTGATAGCATAAATCTAACGCTAATTAGCAAACTAGATTATTTTCAAAGCCCACTCAGCTTAATCACATAAATATCAGCATTTTAAAAACAAAATTATTTGTTGAAGCAGTGAGAGAGACTAGTGTGGCTTTTCAGGTGAAACATGAGGATGCGCTTGTAATGCTTTCGTTTCTGAGATACTTAATATGTGCCATCCAATGTGGTTTACAAACCTTTCTGATGCTTACAGTGTCCTTACAATGTAGACAGTGACTACCTTGTAAGGACATTTTTATGGTGACTCGGTGCTGCCAGACTTGACCACAGAGCTAAGAGGAGAGCCAGGGGTTTTGTTTGTTTTGTTTTGAGACAGAGTCTCACTCTGTCCCCTAGACTTGGAGCACAGTGGTGCATTCTTGGCTTACTGCAACCTCCATCTCGTGGGCTCCAGCAGTCATCTCACTCACCCTCCCAAATAGCTGGAACTACAGGCATGCACCACTACAACCAGTGATTTTTGTATTTTTTGTAGAGAAGGGGTTTCACCAGGTTGGCCAGGCTGGTCTTGAACTGGTCACAAGTGATCCACCCTCCTTGGACTCCCAAAGTGCTGGGATTACAGGTATGAGCCACCGCCCCTGGCCTAAGAGCCAGGTAAAGCTTTAAACCTGCCTCAGTTAAGGACTAGTTTGAAATGACCCTTGAATCCCATGCAAAACAGTTTCTTGAAGCCAGTTAATGAAAGTTTAGATCTGAACTACATTGCTAGAAACAACTTTTCCTAAGAGGCAGCCTATAAAGGATCAAGAATTGAGGACGACTGATGAAATCCTTAAGCAGCATAGATGAGAAGTCTATGCATAATTTCATCAGCCTAGGATCCTGGATAAAATTTAACCTGGAATTATGTATGGAAATAGTTTTTGTTTTTTTTAAAGAGTGTCTTACTCTGTTGCTGGAGAGCAGTGGCGTGATCATAGCTCACTATAGCCTCAAACTCCTCGGCTCAAGTCTCCTCAACCTCCCAAGTAGCTGGGACTACAGGTGTGTGCTACATGTCCTTGTGAGAGTTCCTTTCTGGCCGGGCGTGGTGGCTCATGCCTGTAATCCCAGTACTTTGGGAGGCTGAGGCGGGCGGATCACTTGAAGTCAGGATTTCAAGACCAACCTGGCCAACCTGGTAAAACCCCATCTCTACTAAAAATACAAAAATTAGCTGGGCATAGTGGTGCACACCTGTAGTCCCAGCCACTCAGGAGGCTGAGGCAGGAGAATCTCTTGAACTTGGGAGGTGGAGGTTGCAGTGAGCTGAGATCGTGCCACTGCACTCCAGCCTGGGTGACAGAGCAAGACTCCAACTCAAAAAAAAAAAAAGAAAAAGTTCTTACTTGATGCTAGTCCCTTAGTTTTTGCCTGATGTCTTTTTTCTGTTGCAGGATCTCACCCAGGACTCCACATTACATTTAGCCATCATGTCTCCTTAGGTTCCTCTCTGCTGCTACAGCTTCTCTGACTCTCCTTGTTTTTGATGACCTTACAGTTGTAAGGAGTACTAGTCAGGTACATTGTAGGATGCCCTCTGTTAAAATTTGTCAGATGTTTTTCTCATGATTAGACAGAGGTTATAAATTGCCATTTTCATTACATCATCTCCAGAGGACATACTATCAATGTGATCTGTGATGGCTAATGTTGACTTTGATTACCTGGCTGAGGTAGTGTTTATCAGGTTCCTCCACTGTCTAGTCACCCTTTAGGAGGGACTTTGCATATTGTCCCACACTGTGGAAGGAAGTCACTGCACAGCCCACGCTTAAGGAATGGAGAGTTATGCTCCATCTCCCTGAGAGCGGAGTGTCTACAGAAATTACTTAGACTTTTTCTGGATAGATTTTTTCTATTTATTATTATTATTGAGATAGAGTCCTGCTTTGTTGCCCAGGGTGGAATGCAATGGCATGATCTTGGCTCACTGCAACCACTGCCTCCTGTGTTCAAATGATTCTCCTGCCTCAGCCTCCCAAGCAGCTGAGATTACAGGCATGTGCCACTGTGCCCAGCTAATTTTTGTATTTTTAGTAGAGATGGGGTTTCACCATATTGGTCAGACTGGTCTCGAACTCCTGACCTTGTGATCCACTTGCCTCATCCTCCCAAAGTGCAGGGATTACAGGTGTGAGCCACTGCACCTGGCCTACATATTTGTTTTTAGAGACAGGGTCTCACTAGGTTGCCCAGGCAAGAGTGCAGTGGCTATTCACAGGTACAATCAATCACTGCACACTGCAGCCTCGAACTTCTGACCTTGAAGTGATCCTCCCTCCTCAGCCTCCTGAATAGCTGGGACTATAGGTACATACTACCACACCACAGAACGCTCAAGTTTCACAGAATTTTATAGTGGATTGATACTTTTTTTTTGAGACAGGAGCACTTGAGCCCAGGAGTTTGAAGCTACAGTGAGCTATGAATGCACTATTATACTCTAGCTTGGGTAAGAATGAGATGCTCTTAGTAAATTAAAATTAAAATTTTTAAATCTAATTTTTTTTCTAAAGAATATTATGAATATGAGCATATGTGTGGATATATGTATTAATATTTATGTTCTCACGATAGCTGAGAATGTAACATTTCCATCTCTTTTCTTTCTTTTTTTTCTTTGAGACCAGAGTCTTGCTCTGTTGCCCAGGCTAGAGTGCAGTGGAGTGATTTCAGCTCACTGAATTTCCACCTTCTAGGTTCAAGCAATCCTCCTGCCTCAGCCTCCGGAGTAGCTGGGATCACAGGCGTGCACCATCATGCCCAACTAATTTTTGCATTTTTAGTAGAGACAGGGTTTCATCATGTTGACCAGGTTGGTCTTGAGCTCCTGACCTAGGGTGATCTGCCCACCTTGGCCTCCAAAAGTGTTGAGATTACTGGCGTGAGCCACCGCACCAGGCCTTTTTTTTAATTATTATTCAGAGTTTCACTCTGTCGCCCAAGCTGGAGTGCAGTGGCACGATCTCGGCTCACTGCAACCTCCGCCTCCCACATTCAAGCAATTCTTCTGCCTCGGCCTCCTGAGAAGCTGGGATTACAGGCATGTGCCATCACACCTAGCTAATTTTTGTATTTTTAGTAGAAACGGGTTTCCTCGCGTTGATCAGGCTGGTCTCGAACTCCTAATCTCAATTGATCCGCCCGCCTTGGCCTCCCAAATTTCTGGGATTCCAGGTGTGAGCCACCAAACCTGGCTAATATTTATGCTGTTTTTGATGACTCTAAGAAAACCTGAAAGGGATTTCTGATTGAATACAGCAGTTTGAACAAACTTACTTATCTCTACTCGTTTCCAAAAGCCACAGAATGTGAGAGTCAGAATAAAAAGGTATACATTTACATCGGGTGCAGTGGCTCACGCCTGTAATCCCAGCACTTTGGGAAGTGGAGGCAGGTGGATGATGAGGTCTGGAGTTCAAGACCAGCCTGGCCAAAATGATGAAACTCCATCTCTACTATAAATTACCCTGGTGTGGCGGCGGGCGCCTGTAGTCCCAGCTACTCAGGAGGCTGAAGCAGGAGAGTTGCTTGAACAGGGAAGGTGGAGGTTGCAGTGAGCCAAGATCATGCTACTGCACTCCAGCCTGGATGACAGAGTGATACTCGGTCTCAATTGAAAAAAAAAAAAAAAAGGAAAGGTATACATTTACAAAGACAAAAATGAGAGTGTGCCCCTCAGTTGACGAACGATCTTAAAGTAGTTTTTTTGGAGGGCAGAAGGCCAATATAACTTAGAAGAGTGTAGAAAACAAATTAAAATGCCGACAGCTGGAAGAGCCAACAAGAATGAAGTCATGTACCAGAGTCTTGAAAATTTCATGAATGGGAAGCACCATTTATTTACTTCTGAGCGTATATGTTCCACACCAGCTTTGAAAACAGTAAGTTAGACTTCTTTTGTCCCACACAACTCACCTTGATTGCTAACGCTTATCCTGCACAAGTGGACAAGTCCCTTCTCCCTCTCTTGACAAAAACTGGAGGTTTAATCCCGGGGGATATTGAACCCAAGAGGACCTTGATGTGAGATTACAGGCAAAGCTGAGGGCAGTAGTGAGTATGGAGTTACAAGTAAGGATCAGGTGGAAATTCATACTAATTACTGAGACCTCCTACCCCTTGGCTCCTAGAAAACCAACAGCCAGGGTTATACTGCCCT